TAGTAGTAGTAGTAGTAGTAGTAGTAGTAGTAGTAGTAGTAGTAGTAGTAGTAGTAGTAGTAGTAGTAGTAGTCATCGTCGTTGCCTTCTGCCATTTCCTACTGTGTTTTCCAGTCGCGTTGGTTTTTACATGTTTTTATTACTCATCTAGCACCTTTGCTTGTAAGCTGCCATGTTCGCTTTGCAAAACTTTTAGCGTGTTGGGCTATCCGGTCCTACTTAGTTTTAAACCAGTCTTGTTTCGGATTATCACAATTAGAAGATACTCAACCATAGTTAAATTCCCTTCTTTCTTGGGAAACTTGGGAGCGGACAGTGGGACATGTCCGGGAAACCCATGCAGTTGCAGTAAAAAAAGAAAACAACAACATGTGCGTTTTGAGGAACAATTAAAGTTGGACCGCTTGTTACCCAAACAATCCATGGGACGGTGTGTGTATAAAAAACCTTGGGATGGTTGATTCTTCAGTCCCCAGTCCGATGTTTTGGGTTAAAAAATCGATCCAGATGACTCCATTCCGTCGAACGCTTCGCTTCCTTTCTCCCCAGGTAAACCGGTGGTGTTCCTCTTCCAGGCATGGACGACGGCCATCCCATCGGTGCCGTTCGGTGTTCGGCGAATTCATTCAAATGCTGGTGAAGATCACCATTGGTTCCTATCGTCCTATAGATTGGTTTCTCTTCCAAAGAACACGGCAGTTTCAAGCAATTCGCAGCTGATTTTTTTACCTGTCAGAAGTCCTCCTTGGATCAGGAATCTTGGAGGGTCCAGGTGACCAGTAATCACGCTTACCAGGTGTCGTTATGCGATTCAATTTGAAAAGGTCACCATCGTTTTACCATTTTTCACCTGCCATGAGGCAATTTGACGTGAACATGTCAGGCCGTGTCAAACACACATAGATGGCCTTGTACCATCGGTTGGTTGATTAATGGAAGGGAGACCCCCAAGTGAACAACCCATAGGTACATAGTACCAACTCGACCCCTCTAAGTCTACTATTTCCAGAAGGACATCACCGGTGTCATGTATGGCAGTTGAAGTCGTTTGTGGCCGTTGAGTTGCGCTCAAGGGAGCCGCAAGTGGACTGAAGACATTCGCAAAGCCACATAGACCTTACAAGACCATCCACGGATACCTTCGCCGGAATTGGACAGTAAGCCGTTTGCAGCTAGATGTCTGAAAACACAAAAACAACAAAATATGTCTTCAACGCGATCCATTTGTTTGGTGTAGCTTCAGACTTTAGACAACTATATGAGGTGCAGCACCCCTTCATATCAACAAACCTACAGAGCAGTCCAGAAGGAAGAAGGAGAACCGGCAATCCGCAACACGAACCGCAACGAGCCTCACACCAGCTCAACCCCAAATCCTTTTTGTTGAGGTATATATGTATCTCCTCCGAAAGAGGCAACCCTCTGAAAAGGTGTTATATAGTTCACACTACTGTACTTGGTGATTGATACCCCCTCAAGAGCGCGACGATTTGCTCAAGAACGGACGATTTGCTCCACGATGGGCTCCAAAGTCTCATGCTTGGAGCCGTCCGCGCCGTCCCTCAACGCAAGTGGAGGGCCGACGGTGTCGAGGTGTCGAGGTGCCCATGGGGGGGTTGGAGCGAGACGGCATGCGGGGTCCCGGGCTTGATTGGAGCTAGGAAAAGCAACCCACAGATGTGGAGCTTCATGCAGTAGGAGGCTCAGGCTATAACCTATATAGCCATCCTTTAGCCACTTTAGCCTTGGTTCTGGTTAAATTGAAGGTTTTTGGGTGCCTGGTCTCTGAGTGAATGATTCAATGCCCGCATTCCACTGACTTTTTGGATGTGTCACACATCTTTTTGTTGACCAAGGCAAACCGCCACTAGCTTCGGATATACCTCAAAGCTGGGTTGGTGGTTTTGAAAGATGTTTTCAACCTTGACTTGGGATGATTGAACCATCTTGAACCCACAGGTCCTCAGATTGTTTTCCGAGTTGAGACCATCTAACCAGATAGGCGTTGTCTTCTTCAGACAGGACAGATGTCCGCTTCGTGTACGTTTCGGTGGACCGGGACCGTGTGACGTTGACTTCGTTCCTGGACGGGAAGAGCGAAGCACTTGAAGCCGAGAACCCATGCAGTTGAAGCCGAGGTTCTCGGTTCTTGTTCCGTAGCATGGTGGGGTGGTTTCCACCACAGAGGTCCGGGAAGAACGATGGATCGTGTTCTTCCTGTTGAGGAAGAACGGACACTGATAGGGATCGCCAGATCGTCATACTGTCGAGTGATATCACATGGAATCGTGTTGGACTCTTCCGTATACGCTATTTGACTCGATGACTGCAACATTTTGCCTGTTGGATTGAATGTGTCTCATGCCAAGGAATGGTGGCATTCCGGAGGCTGCTGAAGGCATCTCCAGCTCGTGCCGTGGTGCAGATTGATGCCGCGGGGGTAGGGCACCAAAATGTTGCTTGTCCCAGGTCTCCATATTGTTTTATATTGTCTACAATTTGGTTGACTCATCTATGGTGTTTTCAAACATTGGTGTTACATGGTGTTACCATGCGTTACCCCTGATTTTCTTTCACCTATGATCACACTATGTTGATGTCCAAGGGGTAACCTTTAGGCCCACAAACTGTGCAACGTTGCCCTGCCGTGATATTAATGAATAGGCGCCGGCGCAGGACATGCACAAACTTGCTTTGCCAAGACCCATACAAAAGGGAAAACACCGTGCCACTGAGCCGCAAAGAAAAGGAGAACAGCTTGTTCAGACTCGAAGTATTGTTCACCTACTACTAAGCTTGAAATCTCTACTAAGAGAACGGGTCTTAGGTAAAAACAATTCGTTCGTTTGGTTGTGTCATCTTGGTGACGCTATTGCACTCTCATTAGGTGACTTGAGGCCTGAGGCAAGGGAAGTACCGGGGGCCTGTGCCGAGGGCAACCCACCTTCTGCACCCCAAGAGACTGATAGTGCAACATCCATGGCCCCCCTGTGCAACATCCATGGCCCCCCCCCCCAAAAAAAAATCAAAAAAATGGACGACCTGGAAGTGCTTCACTCAGCGTTTATCCTGCCACTTCTCCAAATGCAACCAGTGAGATCTCACCACCTACCACCTGAGGTCGCAGAACTGCCACCATCATCATCGTTTTCCAAGACTTGGCTCTCAGGCAGACGCGTGACACGCATTTGTCGCTGGGTCGGAAGTATATGGACCTTTGCCAAACATGACCCTGATTGATTGGCCGGGTCAAGGTCTGAGTGGGGTATATGTTTGATCAAGGATCAATTTTTTGACGTGCATATATTGTGTCAACCTGCAAGAATCCGAGATTTTGCGATCAAATGAAGACCACAGAATCATCCTACATCGACCATGTTCCCATTCATATGACAATGGCAAGCCCAGGACTTAAGTCCAATAAGTTTGCCCATAGGGTTGGAGCAGATGGTTACAATGTATAGCTAGACTTCCTGGGAAAGCGGAATGTATAGCATCGACTTCTTTAGAAGAATCAGACTCTCCACGTACGGGTAAGGAATATTTACATCGGGGTTGTTGAAACAGGGTGAATGTAGGTAAATATGCAATCGAAGTGTTTGGGGAATGGTTTACTTAGTCGCTGCCACCCTTTTAACCAACCCAGCTGGGGTAAACATATGCCAGTTTTATGAAGGTGTTTGGTTTTTAGGTCCTTGTTCCAGCGAGCAATTTTATAGGTTTATGCGGTTGTAGTCATTGCAGATTAGAAACCAGTTGATGCCAGCCAGGTGATAAAGTTTAATATACAGTTATGCTGAAATATCGGTTGCATCATTGCATCCAGGACTGTGAGAACATGAGAACTCGGTTTTCACTCCCCACGTTGTGAACAAAATGCTGTTCATGTTTTTTGGGTGCCTGTGGTAGTAGCTGTAGCTTTTGAATGGGCTAGCAACATGAAGGTAGAATCTGTCGTAATGAACTAGGATTTTTAGGCAATGTGGAATTGGTTCACTAAACGCTCAAAATCAACCCTGGCCCTGGCTTGCTTTTGGGGCCTTGCAGGTCATTAAACAATGCGGGTGAGCAAATGGACGTGCATAGAGACACTTATAAATATGATGTTTTTTGGGAGGATATTCAGCTAGTTACAATAAGGCTAGCCAATCACACAAGAGGTGCCGCAGACTTGCATGACCCTGAGCGATTACCAACCGCTTCTTGTGGCAGGAGAGCCTCGAGCAAGAATTGGGACCGACCGCCAGGGGCTTTGGGGATCAATCACTGTCGTGTCACAAGAAATTCCTCAGATTGTTTAATGTTGGACGGTCCGAAGTGTGAAGAGCACTGGCTTCGACCGGTTCCCCACCATCCATCATCATCCACGTTCGCTGAAGCGAGAGTGACCATGTGGAAATCTCGAAGGTGCCAAAGGGTCGCAGATGTTGCAGATGTTTTTTGTATTTTGTTTTTTAAGATTGATTCCGATTCGATTGTATTTTCCTTCACCGTCGCATTCCCTTTTGCGAGTCTAACATCTCATGTGTCTCAGGTCAGCCAACAGCTCGGTCGTCAGGCAGGAGCCGCGATTTGGCGCGACAGGATCAGCCCCCCCCAAAGCATAGGGTGGCCCTCCTGAGTACTGTAATTACTTAGTCTTAATTCGTCCATTCTGTTCCTTTTCGCTGGTTAACCAAGGTATCCTGGTGTTCACCTTCAGCCACGTTTAGTATATAATAGTGAATGTTGTGGCATTTGCTGGGTTTCGCTTCGGTTTGGTCGCCTCATGTTGCCTATCCAACTGGTCCTTTTCGTCACACCATATTGTTTTCGGAACAAATATACTGTTCTTGATGGGTTCTTCCAAAAGACCATCGGGAATTGGGACTAGTCGGACTGCTTGAATCATCGTGGACCTCCATGAACGGAGTTTCCATCAACTGTATTATTTGCAGTTTACCTGGTGCGATGGCGACTCCCTCTGGTCTGCGAAGGCAGATGCACAACTTTAAAGGGTATGGTACAACTCCCCACTACATGTGCGATCCAATATGGGCCCCATGGGTATCTCGAGCAATACGGCCCCCCATAGTTGCACCCACCATTTGTAATTATCGTCTCACTTTATATTTAGATGGTGCACTTTGCCCGTCCAGCTACCAGCAACGGCAAAAAAAATCAGAAGGTGATTGGAGACACTCTTGTGTAGGTTTGGAGGCTCCAAGTATTTTCTATCAAGGTACTTGGATCCCCAAGGACTGGTGACATCAGGACACCCACCTCTGGTGCTGGTCGTTCATTGGATCTGTGCCGGTCGCTCAGAGGTCGGACTGGGCAGACAGCAGTCGCCAACCGGCTTGAGTCATCGCCAGGCCAGGTGTGGGAGATTTGAGGGCCAGGTGTTGGAGAAAGAAACTTCTGTGACAACATCCGGATGGAACAGTGACACAGTGATCATGTGAATTCTTAAAATGATATATTGGATTATTAAATATTGATAGAAACACAAATTGATCAACACATTTCAATACTCCTTCGAACAGAGCTCTTTGAAGGCGTTTTGTGTTTTTG